AAATATAACCAACCTCGATCAAAATTCTTCCGAAGCAGATAGCCTCTTGTCGTTAAGCGAAAATCCGAAAGCGGCAGTTAATTTGGTCAATGAGTATTTTAGTAATATCGGGAAAACCCTCGCCACGCAGTTTACCGGACAGTCTAATCATTTTGCGATACCTCAAAATTGTAACCATGTAAATTCTATGGCGTTAATTGAAACTGACAATGAGGAAGTCGAACGAATTACTATGGGACTACGAAATTGTGCCGTGGGGTGGGATGGCATACCAGCGTCACTGCTTAAGGCCGCGCGTTCCGTTCTTGTGCCAATAATGACACATATTTATAATCTCTGTTTGTCGTCGGGGACATTCCCTCGGGTATTCAAGAAAGCCCTTGTACATCCTATTTATAAAAGCGGTGACAGAGACAGTGTCAACAATTACAGGCCTATTTCCGTCTTAACAACACTTTCTAAAATCTTTGAAAAAATTCTAAATTCTCGCTTAATAAAATACCTTGATGCATATTCGATACTTTCTGATAATCAATTTGGCTTTCGAAGTGGGAAATCTACAGAGGATGCTGTACTGGCTCTCACAAATTCTATTATTGACAATTTTAACTGTAAACACAAAACCATTGGTCTTTTCCTTGACTTATCCAAAGCTTTTGACACTGTCTCTGTCCCAATTCTCGTGGGGAAACTAGAGTGTATTGGCGTGAGAGGACTCGTACTTGATATATTTAAAAGTTACCTCAGTAATCGCACACAGCAAGTTCGCATAGGCAATCATATCAGTGATGAAGTGACTCTATCGTTCGGCGTGCCTCAGGGTAGTGTCCTCGGACCAACATTATTCCTAATATATGTTAATGATTTATGCAATCTAGCTCTCAATAATGTTAAAGTTTACGCTTATGCTGATGACACTGCCCTTCTCATTGAGGCACCAACATGGGAGGAAGCTCGACTCCTCGCTGAGACTACGTTAAGGATAGTAATGCAATGGTTCGCTAAGAACTTATTGACAGTTAATGTTAGCAAAACGACTTTTATAGCTTTTGCTCCCAAAGCCTTGTCTCTGCCCCCGTCTACTTTGTCTATCCACGCCCACAATTGTAACCCAAATGACGATTTTTGCCGCTGCACTGAGCTAACGCAGTCTTCCTGTGTTAAATATCTTGGCGTTCTTATTGACTCTCTAATGACTTGGAATGACCAGGTTGAGGCGGCTATCGGTCGAATTAGAAAATTAATGTATATTTTCAAGACCCTTAGAAATATTGCTGATCAACAAACCCTGAAGATCGTATATTTCTCGCTGGCACAGTCTGTTTTGACTTATTGTTTATCAGCCTGCGGTGGGACAGGGAAAACTAGATTCCTCCGTTTGGAGAGAGCCCAAAGAGCCGTTCTTAAAGTTATGCTTGGCAAACCAATCCGTTTTGCTACTTCTGAATTGTATATAATAGCTAAAGTCTTAACGGTTAGGCAATTGTTTGTCTTAAAAACGGTATTACGCAAACACCTTGAGCTACCTTTTGTTAAAAATGCTATAAAGCGACGGGCTGGCCGCATTTGCAATATGAAACCTACTCGTATTGCTCTTGTTAGAAATCATTATGTCTATCTCTCGGCTAAAATCTATAACAAATTGAATGCATTGATAAACATCCATCCTCTGTCTTACTGGCAATGTAAAAATAAAGTAACTAAGTTTTTGCAAAATCTCAATTATAAAGAGACTGAATCACTTGTTTACGATAACTAATGAACATAAGTTAATTGTATATTTATAAGATAATTTTGTGAATTATTATTTATAAGCTCTGTACGTAAATAAAACAGGTATATATACAGTGTAGTACTTACGCTACTATAAAACTTACCAACCTGATTGTTCTATCTTCATCTCCTAAGGATTCGTATAATTTATAAATATAAGCTTAAACTAAATTAATATCATTACAATAGTAACTAATTCTGTTAACACACCCTAATAATATATTTGTACTAACCTTAGAACATAGCTGTCCTTATTGTCCCGAGGTGGGCGTAAATAGCTGCGACACAGTTTATACTAATGCAGCTACTTACGATCTAAATGTTTTAATATGTATGTTATTATGTTCAATAAAAATCTTTAAATCTTTAAAAAAAATCTTTATTACTTATAAATAGACTTTTATAAACGTGTCAATCTTAATATCACTCTTTTATTCATTTTGAATATTGAATTTTTTTATTTGTATACTCGTAATTTTATTATATATGCAAGGTGTTCTCTTTACGTAACCGCTAACCTCTGTAATCTTATAGTATCTTAGTGTAAATACATGTAAAGTCGTAGGCAAATAATAGTAGATATCGATGGTGTTAATAGAGAAAAATGAGACCATAAAACGTCAAATACTTTTTGACAACGGGTCCCGTAGGCATTAGTAGTTTACGATAGAACAACGTGGCATATCTGCTAATGAAAAGGCGTGGAATTACAAATGAGTCCTGTGATATGAAATGAATCAATTAACATGAGAGGTGTGGCGGCTGTTATTCCTAATTAACCTTTTATGGCCAATCTACAATTACTTTTTTAATATTCATAAATTAAATTTTACAAACTATATTTTTTACTAAGTTAGTTTTTTTTCTTAACATAAATATTATAATATAACTAGCATTGCCCGACTAAATACCAAATTCTTAGGTTTTACATATTAGTATACTATTACAATACAGTTTTAGTATTTTTTTCTCACGAATGAGAAATTTTCCCGTGGTAAAAAGTATCCTATAGGTTGCCCGGATAACCAACTATCACCATACCAAATTTCATCAAAATCCCTCCAGTGGTTTTTCTGTGATGCGGTAACAGACAGACAGACAAAAATTCTAAAAACTATAGATTCGGACTCTGTATCGATAATAATATCTATTTCAATTAGATTTTCCAAAAATATATAATGTACAGATTCGACTTAGTTACAATTTTATTATATGTATAGATTTAACTTGACAAACTGCTGTTTTCTGCCATTTGATTTTTATTTATTGTAATTTAATATTGTATATTTTATTTTAGCAATCAATAGAATTTACGTCTTTTCATTTTTTATAATACTGGCGAAGTAAAGTACTTTGTTTAATGGGCGCGCCTGAAGGCTATTGATAAAAAATTGAATCGAATTTTATTTACCGTAAACACACAAGGAAAGCAGCCGAAATACCGTGTATACCATAATAAAACCATATTTTTATATCTCTCATGCCCGATTTCACCAACAACCCATAAGCTACCACCTACGTATGGGTATCTCTAAATTAAAAGTCCCCTAAACTAGCCCCTAAATTAAATTTCGTTTTACGATCGTCCTTAAGCTCATATTTCGAGCACCTAAATTTAGGGGGCCTTTTAATTTTTAGGTGACCCCAAACTGTCGGTGAAACAGAAACTGTCCCCTAACAGCCCCCTAACCATGTTTAGGGGATCCCTTAAACTTAGGTGACGTGGGTGAAATCGGGCATCAGACTATTTTCGAATGTATGTACCTACCATTTATTACTTTGTCAGTATCACGTACTTAATTCAGAACCCAATGCAACTTTAATTTTAACTCGGTAGTTATAAATGTAAATTTTAGAGATTCTAATTAAGTTGATTTACAAATGAAAACATAAAATTCTCGTTTTGAAATGGGATATATCATCTAATTTCGGAGCGTAACAGCGAACTCGTTTTTGTATAGGTAATTGAATATCTGCTATATTAATATAAGAGTAGAATAAATTAAGAGATTACGTAAATCTATTACAATTGTGAAATTGTCAATGAAATAAATAGTTTAAACAGAAGTTTACGTATAATTTTTTGACTAAAAAAATGTTTTCTTGCTCATGAGGTTTTTAGACGTTTTAGACGTTTTGTCTGTTTCATTTGTGTGACGAGCACGAATATTTGTACTAATCAGTCATGGGTGTTTATATTTATACTGTGTATATATTTAAAGTTATATATGTGTAGTGTATCAACTATCTGGTATCCATAATACAGGCCTCGTAGCTTACCGTGGAACTAAATGGTGCTGTGTGTTAATATCCCAACATATTTTCAATGAGCCTAAACAGAATAACTCTGCAGTATTTTAGTAAAAAGTTGAGTCTTGTATATATATTCCAGGTGACACTGCACCATCAGGCAGGCAGGCAGGCAGGTTACCATAGCATTGCAATGTCATTAAAGTATAGGGATACCAAGTTTCGAATCGATTAGATCTGTAGAATTTGTTTATACCGTTTTACCGTGTCGAAAGGAGCTCATAGCTTGTAAACGGCTGGAAGGATTTTCTTAATTTATAGTTAATTATTGATAATTTGTACAAATAAAATCCATGCAGGAATAATGTTGGAAATAAAATTAATTTCAAAGTTTAATTGAAATATTTATTTTATTGAAAAAAAGATCTTTTATTTAAAACATTTGATATATTAAAAATAATTATTATAAAAGAATATAACAACAATAATATTACGATGCAAAATAGTCAATTACAAAAGTTTAAATAAAGTAGATAAAAACAATATTGAAAGTTTAAAGTTAATATTTTACACTTGATAGATACATTTATGAAATATTTATCAAATAAACACACACCTGTGTACAAAATTTATATCTGAAGAATGTTTGGACCCTAATATTAAAAGTACAAGTATTAGAAAATTACATTATTTTAAGTTAATTATTATTTTACGGCTAGAAATTTTATTCCATAATCTAGTTTTTGCGTCTCGGCTCAAAAGACGCGAAAACTAGTAACAATTTTATATTTACAAAAGATTTATTTTTAATTATTTCAGGAAAAATGTACAAGTATAATACACAACCATTATACTAATAATATTATAATTTTTATATTAATTTAAGGTAACCAATAAACTAATTATTTATTATTACTTATATATTATATACCCGCAAGATGTCATATAGTTTTAACAGGTCGGACTGGGACACATTACCTGAAAAAAACAAACATGAGTTATTACAAAAACCCTTATAATATTCTTCAAAATACTTATAAGTAATATCTTTATTAATGAAATTTTGACAATAATTTCTAATTTTAAAATAACTGACATACTCGTAGTTCACCAACATTTTTGACCAATAAAGTGGAAGCAAAGAGATAAAATTATTATAGCAATAAAATGAAGAATGTTATAATGTTGTTGTCTCGAGTATTAGAACAGAAATCACAAACAAGATTTTTAATGAAAGCCTCTATTGTACTAATAGGTATATATTTAATTAGCGACTCACCCTCGCTTCGCTCGGGTTCGTCCCTAGATTGATTCCCCATATAAACTTTCATCACCATTTTCACCCCCACAAGGGATGATTTTCGAGATAAAAAGTATCCTATGTCCTTCTCAGGGTCACAAACTATCTTCTTACCAAATTTCATCTAAATAGGTTCCGGAGATACAGGGATTACTACCTACAACCTCACAAACTCACAAATTTACAAACTTTACCTCTTTATAATATTAGTATAGATGTAAACAACTCCTTTAGGTATTGTAATAAAAGTTTATACCTAGAAAATATAATATATCTAGGTCTTTAAAAGCATTAAGAGCGTTAAAAGATCATCTACATGAGAAGCTTTTTACTTTTAAATTGATTTTAATGAATGCCATACTTATATTAATGTACTAATTGAAAATATTTTATATAAAATCCGATAAAATATAGTATATGTTACTAAGCCGGATAGTGTAGTTTTCTATTAGTAAAGAAATAATTAGAGATTTTTTAACTACTAACTCATAAACAAAAAAATATGTGCTTAGCAAAAGGCTAGTAACAATCTGTGCCATTTTAACGCGAAGGGACCTAATAGGTATACATTTGAGCAAAATATATTTTAAGGTAGAGGATTTTTATACTTCCGTTTCCGTTCTCACAAGAACTTATTGCTTTCGAGATGATATGGCATTGTTGGTCACGAGTTCTGTAATACTTTCTAAATAGTAATAAAATATTTTTACACAATTTTCTATACCTTATTCCATTTAATACAAGATTTTGTTTAAAACATCTACCTTAGATGTTAAACAACAACTATCATCCTTTATATTTAGTTATAGTAAACTCTCCAACTCATAATTTCATGAAGGTTTGCATAATATTAGATATTCCGTACAATTGATAATCCAGTGTCGTTTAATTTTCTTCCGTTATATTTGTAGTTTAAGAAAATTTTGAGAACATTAGCTACATCTGCCCAAGTTTTCATCGGGATTGGTTCAGCAATTTTTCCAGCGATTGATGCGAAAGCTCAACAAATAACAAAAATAATACCTAAGCTTGTTTTGAATATTAAAAACAATTTTTTAATCAAAATGAAATTAAGTAATTCATTTTCACAAAAGGGAAAGATTAGGTTTAAGAAAATAACTAAGATTTTAATACCCAGAGTTTTATGGCGATAATCAAGCTTCGGCTCACAAAGTAAATACACTCGTATTGTAGATTTAAATCTAAATCTGAAATTTACATCCGTATAACCATTTCTATAATTACTATACGGCTTTAATGACATTATACAATTTATTGTTACAGTCATTCATTACTCAATTTCATAATAGAAGGTTTTAATTTATGAAATTATAAGTCTGCTAAGTTCCATTCATTCAGCTGAAACACTTTGATGAAAGCGGGGAATCCTTATAATTTATCGGTATTCGATTCCCGAGTAGAATTACTTCAATAAAAGCAAATCCTAATTGTTTACCTGTTCAAATCTATATAATACTCTCCACCACCCTGCTGAGGGCGGGAATCTGTCGCTATAGCGGGCCGGTGACCTGGAACAATGTCGTATTTTTCATCTTTTACAAAAATAACATCGTTCAGGTTAAATTTGAACAAAAATTCGGCCATCTACGAGTATACATATAATAAAATTGTAACTAAGTCGAATCTGTACATGAAATATTTTTTGTAAAATCTAATTGAAATAGACATTATTATCGATAAAGAGTCCAAATCTATAGTTTTTAGAATTTTTGTCTGTCTGTCTGTCTGATACCGCATCACGCAAAAACCACAGGAGGGATTTTGATGAAATTTGGTATGGTGATAGCTGGTTAGCGGGTTAACATATAGGATACTTTTTACCGCGGGAAAATATCTCATTTCTGAGAAAAAATATAAAAACTACATTGTAAAAGAATACTAATATGCAAAAGCTAAGAATTTGGTTTTTGGTCATCTGGACGCGAGCGGAGCAGCGGGCAATGCTAGTTTAGTTATAAGAAAAAGGAAAATACTTTCTGTGACGCATATTTTAATGCGGCAACTATTATAATATCTTACTCGTTATGAAAAAGACTACGCAAGCAATGAAAAGTTAAAAAGCACCTTGTTAAGAAGTAATATAGACTTAGTGGAAACTACGTAATGGAAAAAGTACTCAGCATACAATATTATATATATATATATATATATATATATATAATAATTAGTACTGTGATACACATTGTGTGTACGAATATTGTGAAATATAGTGTCTTGTATGTGTACATGTTCTTTATTATATATTATATAATTTAGAATATATAGTATAGTAAGTAGGTATAGTTGTACGAGTATTTCCTTGGTGTCAAATTTTAAAAGGAGGGGATTTTATTGCTGGCGAAGCACTTTGATATTGTTTTCCTAAAGTGACAGGCTCTTGATCATTTGCCTTTATTTATTTGACAATGTTACCACTCGAGTCTTTGCTTTCAGCTCTTTAAAGCAATTATCTGAAAATGTTATCCGAGAAGTGTTTCGCCAGTGAATTTAATAAAATTGCAATATTAGGCTTCATAACTTTCTTAAAATTTAATTTAGATCGTTAGATCTAACACTGTTTTTTCACAATGAGAATCATGTTTCTACCAATAGATATTCTACTAGTTGTATCATGTATATTAGTATTATGTACACACAGGCTTTATACAGATTAGTATTACATATACAGATGCTTATGACGCTGATACAGATGATTAGGTATGCTTATAAATAAAGTAAATGTACCATTCTTTGTAGATATACCTACTACGTACGTTTTGACGGTTAGTATGAAATACAAATCTTTGAATTTTCTGTACTATGATATGCATGTATAATATATATAAAAAACCCTCTTGAATCACTATTTATTGCTGAGAACTGCATTAAAATCCGTTGAGTAGTTTAAAAGATCTAAGTGAACAGACAGCGGAAGCGACTAAATTTTATACTATGTAAAGATATAGTATGTTATCCTTAAGAGATAGACATAATATGCCATCGCGGACTTTTCTGTAGACCTAAATAAAATACACAATTCCACCATACATTTATATCGTGTTATATCTCTAGGGTTTAGGCAGCGTTTTCGTTGAAAGCTCCCAGACGTCTTATTTTTTTCCGACACCTCCAACAAATATCGTTATATTTTAGCCAATGCACACTAAAACTTAACAAATTATACCTATACTAAAACCTTCCTCGAGAACCACTCTATCCATTGGTGAAAACAGCATGAAAATCGTTGTAGTAGTTTTGAGTTTATCGCGAACAGACAGACGGACAGACAGACAGACGGAGGATTTTCTTTTATAATATGTAGTGATAAAATTAATGTTTAAAAATTATTATAAAATTGTCACAAAGTCATCTAAGCTTTCCATATAGTATTTAACTTTAACACAGATAATCTAGGAGTGAACTCCTTATGGCTTTGTCTAAATAGGACAAGGATTAGCATACAGTAAGCATCACTACTTAGGCAACGACTGAACTTGGGCAGGCATCAATCAGTATGTAATAATATGTATATATTCCCAAGTAAAGTTGATATCAGACAGACAGCCAGTAAAACTTTAACCAAATCCTATCAACAACACTGAAGATGTACTGCACTGACCCCAAATAATTGGGAAATCAGCAGGGAGATAATGATGTAAATATGCATAATGATTTAAAGCACCTTCTATTATTGAAAATATAATGTTGGGTGGCTCGCCAACTGTCAGACTACCGCAGCAATATCTTTGTTAAATTGAGATAAACACCTGTTCAGTACAAAAACAAATATTTCCCTCGGACGGGAATCAAACTTGCATTATAATTGATCGATCGCCAGTCGGTTCACACTTCGATTTTTGAATAAAATTATGATACTAATGAAGTAAAAACAGAATTTATATTTAGAGCCGATAATGGCACTCAAGGAAATTTCATTTTACATTATTTCATTCGCACTTAGTGATTTTATCCCAGCTTTTAAAGGGTTAGCCGCAGGAAAGTAATTTTAACGTAACCACACTTTAAATTCTTCGACGAACTAAGAATATTGTTTATTTTATTTTACATAAATAGAACTCACATGATGAAGTTTAGTCATTGTATTATATTTTATATTGAATATCTGATTCTATTTTTAACAATATAAGTTATCTCAAATCACAGTTAGAAAGAAGCATTAGGTCTAGATCCATAAAACTTTGGACACTTTGGATGAGAGTTTTAAATGATTACCTAAATAACGAGTATCCAAAAGCAAAAATAGCTCTCATAAATGTGTGCAGAGCCGCGAGAGTTGGTTTTACTATAAAAAGTTTAAATTATTTATGTAAATATAAAACAACAGTGTTCTAAATTAAAAGACCAATTTGCAAAGTAGATATAATCCATACATATAATAAAATTGTAACTAAGCCGAATCTGTACATTAAATATTTTTTGGAAAATCTTATTGCAATTAACATTATTGTCGATACAGACTCACAGAGGCCGAATCTATAGTTTTCAGAATTTTTGTCTGTCTGTCTGTTACCGCATCACAGAAAAACCACTGGAGGGATTTTGATGAAATTTGGTATGATGATAACTGGTTATCCGGGTCAACATATAGGATACTTTTTACCGTAGTATGAGACTCCGAGAAAAATTCGCATTTCTGAGAAAAAATACAAAAACTGCAATGTAAGAGTATACTAATATGTAAAACCTAAGAATTTGGCCTTTTGTCATCTGAACGCGGGCAATGCTAGTGTACAATATGATGCTACAATACATATTACGATGCTAAGATCATATATTTTGAATATTTTAGTTTAACCCTAAACTCTAAATGTAATAAACTTAAATCTTCACTATAAAACTGACTCCTGTTATATATAAAAAATGTTAGAAAATGTTAACGTTGCTAAGGTTTCTATGACGTCAAATCTTTTAGAACTTTTTATCTGTCTGTTTCTTTGATTGAGCATCACACAAACATTACTCGACCGATTTAGATAAAACTGATTGTATATGAAAGCTTATGGTTAGACTTAAAATCTAAGTAGGTACTATAATAAACTACTGCTACAAAAATTAAAGGAGACACATTTTACAATACGTCAAGGCCAAACTGGTCAGTAGAAGTTTATAAAAAATCTACTTAATATATAATACTAGCGGCTCACTCTCGCTTCGCTCGGGTTCGTCGCTAGGTACGTTTTAAATAGATATAAATAGTTATTAGTTTTTTTCGTTAATTTTTCAATTTTTTCTTTCATAAGAACCTTCTCCTGACAATAACAAACACAACAAAAAAAATAGTTAAATCGGTCCAGCCGTTCACGCGCGATGGCGTGAGCAAGGAAAATAGGGATTCATATATATATATATATATATATATATATATATATATATATGTATATGTATATATATAGATAAGGTAACATAATATCAATAGAAATACAGAATTTGAGCAAAACAAATATTGAGTTCCTGATTACTTATGCTATAACGGAACTAACAAAGCTCTCCAGTAATAATGAAAACAGAGTTTTGTTTGCAGTGCCCACTTCGCCACTTCATATTCATGATAAAGCGTATGTATATTTTACGTAATATTACAAAATAGTCTGCTCAAGTTATTGTCATAATATTATTATATCGCCTATTTGTATTTATATGCGTAGGAAGGAGCATGCAATATATTTTGGCCAATTTCAAAAACCGGGTACTTTATTGTGGGTAGTATACTCGATATCTTTGAAAATTGTGGATCGAATTACACAATTCTTTTTTGAATAAAAAGTATAAGACTCAAGGCGGCCAATAATTGGACCCAGTTATGCAAAAAACAGCCTTGTGCGTAAAAGTACCAACAGAGTTATATGCTTTTTATTATAAAAAATAAAATAATTATAAAAAATAAACAATACTTGTATAAATATTGTTCAATTTTAAAATAGCCAGAAAAACAAAACATAACCCAAGTACAACTATCGACAGAAGAATGCTTATAACTCTTTGGTACTTTTTCGCAAATGGCTGTTTTTTGCATAACTGGGTCCAAATACTTTTATGTTTCTTTGTTTAAAAAAGATATAATTTCAAAAATTTGTAATAATAAAGAAGTTTTATTGCTTACCTGTGTCGTAGGTTCAAGTTTAGTACCAAATTTAGCCGGTTCTTCGGTGGAGTAGACCATTCGTCGAGCGAGTCTAGCGAATGTACATCTAAATTGTCTACTCATACTGCAATACAGCACGAAATTGACCGAAGACGTGAATAGCGCCAAGACATCCATTAAATCTCCTGCGAGAAATGAAGAAAAAGCTAAAATTAGATCTTGTTATACATAATACAGTCTTCTTAGAAACACTTATAATTTTTTTCGCCAAATTAATATTTTATAATGAGAATAGTAATAAATCAAATATAGTTCTAACCCTTGCTGACGAACATCTTTGGGCAAAAATATTATAAAGTGGAAATTTGTTTGTTGCTTTGCCTATTACGAGTGTCTATTTAATATATGTGAGACATTAAGCTTGAAACATTTTTTGTCTTGATCACAAAATATTTTCCGACAATAATTACATTTCATATAAATGAATATGTTTTCTTTTTAACCGACTTCCAAAAAGGAGGAGGTGCTCAATTCGTCAGAATCTTTTTTTTATGTATGTTCACCGATTACTCGAAGATGCCTGAACCGATTTGGATTTTTTTTGTTTCAAAGGGTATATATACTTTCCAATAACAAGCGACAATATTTTAAGATATGAATATCTAATAGGTAAATATGTGTTTTACGTATCGAAATATATTAGATTTGCTTTGCATCGGCTGGCACTGACTTCGAAAATATCTGATTAGGTAACTATTCTAAATGAAAACCCCCGTTTAGTTATTTTTTACATTTAAGTGCCTGGAAGTTGTTTTTTTTTTAGTTTTTGTGATGAATTCTAAAATGTTTGCTAAATAATGGTGAAAATCTTTAAAAAACCTAAAAAATACAAATACAGAAAGTGGTATCGCTTTTTTTCTATTAAGAGATAGATGTGTTCTTATTTGTTAAAAATAACCACAATAAAAAATAAAGCTCGAAGCTTAGCAAAACAAATGTAGCGTTCTTTTAACTTATTTTGCGCAGGTGCTGTTTTCTGTACGAGAACATCTACTGGGTACATTATTTATTATTTAACAAATTCTTATAATATACTATCTACTCACTCTCGCTTCGCTCGGGTTCGTCCCTACTTATGTTTTAACGTTTAGTATCGATTTCTCAGAGATGAGATATTTTCTCGCTGTAAAAAATATTCCGTATGTTGACCCGGATAACCAGCTATTATGATACAAAATTTTATCAAAATCCCTCTAGTGGTTTTTCCGTGATGCGGTAACAGACAGACAGACAAAAATTCTAAAAATTATAGATTCGGCCTCTGTATCGATAATAATGTCTATTTCAATTAGATTTTTCAAAAAATATAATGTACAGATTAGGTTTAGTTACAATTTTATTTTATGTATAGATAACTAAACGGCAAAAAATATATTTAAGAAATCAAATTTGATTTTGAATGTTTTGTTGCTAATGTTTTTAATAACTCTAAGTATGATTCAGTATAGAAAACTAATTAAATTAGTGTACGAGCTTATGGCTAAAATATTTATTGCAATAGTTCCTTACCAACTTCATACATCGTAAACTAATCTCGCTGACATATAAGCTCTCTCTATGCAACTATAATTACTTTTTATTAACAAAAGCTATACTGACTTCATAATCATAATATACTAGCGACTCACCCTCGCTTCGCTCGGGTTCGTCCCTTGCTTGCTTCCCCATACAAACTTCCACTTTCACCCTCTTAAGGGATAATTTCCGGGATAAAAGTATCCTATGTCCTTCTCAGGGTCTCAAACTATCTTCTTACCAAATTTCATCTAAATCGGTTGAGTAGATCTAGAGAATACTCCTACAACGTCACAAACTCACAATTCACAAACTCATAAACTTTACCTCTTTATAATATTAGTATAGATTACAATTATTTTCTCCTAATACCTACTTGAAATTTTTAGAAAATTGTTTGTATAAATAATATGAAATGAATAAAATGTACCTAATATATATAAAACTTTATGTATTAATAGGCAAAGACAAAACAGTTCAGTTATATTTTCTCAATCAGTTATCAATATATCTTTTTTGAAAAAATGTAAATTTTAAATTCATATATGTTTACCTCAAATTTTCAAATATGGTCGTCGACGAATTTCGACCATTGGGCGAACACTAGATATAAAAATCGATTCATAATAGACGAATATGTTGTATAAGATTAGATACCTACAAAAAAACTGAGAAATCCCTATTCCTGTTTAAAATCGGCCAAAAAAGCAGATCGATCCTAAGGCTATTGTATTTGTAATAATATTAGCAAGAAGAACTAAGGGAGAACTTACACAAAGTTAATTTCCGTCGTACAAACGCGTGTGACTTTTCCAGATGATTTTATTCAAAACAAGACGAGCAGATGCTATCGATCCATGTCTTTATTGTGAAATTTATTGAAATTTGAGAGCATGTTCCAGAGCACAGTAGTACGAGTAATAGTCTATTGAGTAAATAAAATATTAAAGCTTTAATTTTTAAAATAACTATGTCTTTTGAGAAACAAAATTTAAATTGTCTTCTTAAAGGCAATTTAGTATAAATAATATAAATTGAAGCACCTGCAACCGTGGTACAATATTGGCGACCTTTGAAATTCTAAATTTTTTTAGGGCTCTGTATGCAAATGGCTAAAAAGTTTTCGCTCTTACAATTTCACCATATTTGTCTTTCCGTCTGCCAGTCTGTTTGTTTATCACAGCCGTTTCACTCCGAGACTATTGGAGCTACATTGCCGAAATTGAGTAGGTTAGTTTTATATAAACTACAGGACAATTCTTTACAATTCAAATAGGGTAGCAAAAGGGTAGCAAAGGTAGTGAAAAAAAACATAAAGTAGTAAAAAAACCTGCAACTTTTGAATTAAGAGTCAGAAAAATTAGTAAAAATTTGGGATAGAGCTTCCACAATACTTTCAACGGAAATTATTCCGAAGAAGAAATATTAGACATAATTAAATAAAAATATGAAGATATGAGATGAATGAATAAATGAAAATATGAAGATAAAACAAAAAATGAAGATATAATGATTCTTAAACCAAAAATCGAAATAAATCCGGTTTGGTTGGGAACCAAAAATCAAAATAACTCAAAGATAATTTTATTTAAAATGTCAAATATTCCCATAAATCTAAGAAAGTATCTAAACATTTTTTTAAATGTAATATAAAATTTGTCGAAATAATGATTGAAAATAATATTTAATAGGTATTTTAAACTCAAACCAAATCGAGAACTAATGGATGATTGTAATATCATTACCGACGTTAGCTGTAATTGATCCTTAACATAATATACTTAATTTTAAACGCAATTATTTGATTATTGATAACATTATCTGACGACGCGTGTGGCTCAGTTTGCAGTGACCGTACTTGCTGTGCCAGCGGTCGCTGGTTCGAGTCCCGCTGGGGGCATTCATTTGTGTGATGAGCACGAATGTTTGTACTCCAGTCATGGGTATTTATATTTATTTATAATATGTATATGTATTTAAAGTTATATATGTGTAGTGTATCAACTATCTGGTATCCAAAACACAAGCTTCGTAGCTTACCATGGAACTAGGTGGTGTTGTGTGTTAATGTCCCAACATATTATATTTAATATACGTAAATATGAGGAGGTAGAACCAATTTACAGGTAGTAAGCTAGGTTCAATCAATTAATTAGTAGCTGGGTATAGTCTCACTTTGATTCTGTAATCGATGTTGGATAGGAATATAACCAAATTATTGTATAGCAGTGTAAGTGTATGTTACTGATAGTAAGACTGAGATACTATTGAATAAGCTATTACGACTGAAATGAATGACGTTGAAGAAGAAAAGAAAAGTGCGTATGTGTGTATGAATGTATGTATATATATATCCCTTTTTAACGTCTCACTGCTGACCTCCCCTTAAATTAAAAATAACAAAGGTACAAGACCCGGGCTTTGAACCCGCTTCACTCGGTTATACCCCTGGGCTACCTACCACTTACAAACTTAAAATTTGAAATGTGTGTAGAATAAAAAAAAAATCATATATTTTTTATATATATTTATATTAGAAACTCGTGCTGCGACGGTTCATCGCTGGAATCGTTTATTTTGCATGTACAGGCAATTTATCATACCTCACTTTGTTGATTAAACTATGAGCAAATTTAGTGTTCTTGAATATAAAAAGCATGTTATAATACAGATGTTTTTCTGTTTAATTTCAAAAGTGACATGGATAGATATGAATTATTTAGTTTCATAAAATCTTTGTTGTGTTATCATTTTTAGAGTTCTCTCCATAAATAATTATTGTTTAGTATTTTTTATATGGTATCATCTTAAGGTACACAATATATATATTATAATTTATTAGCGTTAGTTTTTTATATTTCACTCCGCGTAACGCGGATCATACAATTATTATTATTGTTAGAGTAATCCCTTACACGATCGCATAAAAATGTTAATATCGATTAAGCTATAAAATAGAATTAAATCGGGTATTTTTAAGTTTAATCATTTTTTAGAACAATTTATAACACCGGCCGCCTAACAAATATGAGGCATACGAAGGTAATTTTATTACATATATCATCTAAATATGTAAAGTTATATAAGAATGGGGTTCGTTCGCTGAGCCTTTTAATTCGTTATGTTAATACAATTTCCAATTTATTTGTCAAAAGACACATTCTATTCCATTAATATTATAAACGTGGCAATAAGTAAAGGTGTTTGGAAAATTGCAATTTTATCATATTATGTAAATGAATATGTTGGGAAATTAACACACATCACCATCTAGTTCCATGGTAAGCTACGAGACTTATGTTATGGATACGAGATAGTTGATACACTACATATATATATAACTTTAAATAAATGTATAAATAATGAATGCCCCCAACGGGACTCGAACCCGCGACCGCTGGCACAGCGAGTAGGGTCCCTACAAACTGAACCAAACGTGTCGTCAAAATCGTTACACAGATTTGATTTGAAAAACTACGACAATATATCAATTTGAATGTTGTTTTATTATCATTTTTGTTTTGAGCCTATTACGAGTATTAGGTGAGACTATCAAGGAACGTCGAATAATATTGTGTTTCTTAGTGGTAAAGCACCTTATAGAGGAAGA